AAAATTTCAAACATACTTCATTATCATTCTTATAACTCATTACATCAAATCATGTTTCTCCCTTTCAACGCTTGGTTGTAGGTTGCCTCTATAAATTGGTGTCTGGATTTCATGTCTATTTTTATAGATCAGGAGTTAATATTAAAATATAACATAGTTACGGACTTTTTTTATAAATAAAAAGAAGTTTTGATTTCTAATGTATAGATAAGACACTTCAAAACAAAATCTTATCTTTCTGGTGAAGAAGAGAAGATGAGTTCCATAAGCCAAAGCATTCTCATGGCATTAACAGTAACAGTTAACAAATATGCTTCCTCCAATGTTCAAGCCGTACGAAGAAACGATTCCAAACGCGATTCTTTAACCTCTCCAAACGCGATTAGAGGACGCAGAAACGTTCTTTTCTCTTCATCTTCTTTCCTTGCCGCCGCTTTAACCACCAGTGATCAGCTTCTCCAGAGTAATATGAAAAATGCTTAGTTGTGTTTCTTTGGTTTCGATTGTATGTTTCTTTTGACCTAAACTACGTCGTTTTGTGGGGAAGAATTGTTTCAGAGTATTTGAAGAAGACTGAAGAAAACAAAACCAAGAACGACAAGGAGGTATAAAGAATCATTGAATTTACTAAATGCTATTTTTGTTCATCTTTTGTTCTGAAAATTAATTTCTCATGATTGAACAGAGACTGGACAGTTATTACAAGAGGAATTATAAAGATTACTTTGAGTTTGTTGAAGGATCTATAAAAGGAAAGACAGAAGCAGAGCTTAGTGAGTCTGAGAAACGGATTCTTGAATGGCTTAAGGCCAACAAATGATGATGATGATGAAAATTTTTTGTTGTCTATGTAACTATAAAACTGCTCCGTGTTTTATCAATCTTGTTTTATTCACTTTCTCAATAAATCCTAATTTCGAGAATCGAAGGAGTACCAAAATCCAAGCTAAAGCTTGTGGATTCAATGACACAGTGTCAAGAGAGTGGAGTGGAGAAGTGGCTTGGAATTCGTAGTCTCCATGGACGAGAGAGGTCCGGTTTCGAATTTGGCTTGGAATTTTCTGGTTAGTGATGTGCTTAAACCGCCTCCTTCGTGGATAAGCTTGTCCACTACATGTCCAGTTGCTAAGTTCTTGAAATTGTTGTCTGTTAGACACATTTTTTGTAGTCTTCTGGTTTCGAAGCCGACCAGATTATACAAGGCCTTTCACTTGTTGGCGCGAATGTGCTTCTCTCTTAGTATCTTCTCAAGATCCTCTGCCTGGTTTCATCACAAGTTCAAACACACAAAAACATTAGATCGTTTCTTGTGTCTCAAATGAGCATCTCAAGCAAAGCCCTTTTTTACATGAGCTCCTCCGCACTGAACATCAATCTCGGTAACCCAGATAGGTGATCCGGAGGCAGCCAATTTGTCGGGTACCAATATCCCTGCAAGCAGATCGATCCCCATAGGAATCCTTTGGTTAAACGACTGAATCATTTTCAACTACTCTAAGTACTTGTTCCGCGTGGTTTTGGAGCGTCACTACGCTAATAAACAGAATCAGAGAAAGATCTACAGTGTGTCCCATCATCTTATAGAACTTGGAAGCTTCTTGACTAGCTTGTTGTCTTT